CACAGTCACACACACAGTCACACACACAGACAGTCACACACACAGTCACACACACAGTCACACAGACAGTCACACACAGACAGTCACACACACAGTCACACATACAGTCACACACACAGTCACACAGACAGTCACACACACAGTCACACACACAGTCACACACACAGTCACACACACAGTCACACACACAGTCACACACACAGTCACACACACAGTCACACACACAGTCACACAGACAGTCACACAGACAGTCACACAGACAGTCACACACACAGTCACACACACAGACACACACACAGACACACACACAGACACACACACACACAGTCACACACACAGTCACACACACAGTCACACACACAGTCACACACACACAGTCACACACACACAGTCACACACACAGTCACACACACAGTCACACAGACAGTCACACAGACAGTCACACAGACAGTCACACACACAGTCACACACACAGTCACACACACAGTCACACACACAGTCACACGCACAGAGTCACACGCACAGAGTCACACGCACAGTCACACACACACAGTCACACACACACAGTCACACACACACAGTCACACACACACAGTCACACACACACAGTCACACACACACAGTCACACACACACAGTCACACACACAGTCACACACACACAGTCACACACACACAGTCACACACACACAGTCACACACACAGTCACACACACAGTCACACACACAGTCACACACACACAGTCACACACACAGTCACACAGACAGACAGTCAGTCACACAGTCACACACACAGTCACACACACAGTCACACACACAGTCACACACACAGTCACACACACAGTCACACACAGTCACACACAGTCACACACAGTAACACACAGTCACACACACAGTCACACACACAGTCACACACACAGTCACACACAGTCACACACAGTAACACACAGTCACACACACAGTCACACACACACAGTCACACACACACAGTCACACACACACAGTCACACACACACAGTCACACACACACAGTCACACACACAGTCACACACACACAGTCACACACACAGTCACACACACACAGTCACACACACAGTCACACACACAGTCACACACAGTCACACACAGTCACACACAGTAACACACAGTCACACACACAGTCACACAGACAGTCACACACACACAGTCACACACACACAGTCACACACACACAGTCACACACACAGTCACACACACACAGTCACACACACAGTCACACACACAGTCACACACACAGTCACACACACACAGTCACACACACACAGTCACACACACAGTCACACACACAGTCACACACACACAGTCACACACACACAGTCACACACACACAGTCACACACACAGTCACACACACAGTCACACACACACAGTCACACACACAGTCACACACACAGTCACACACACAGTCACACACACAGTCACACACACAGTCACACAGACAGTCAGTCACACAGTCACACACACAGTCACACACACAGTCACACACACACAGTCACACACACAGTCACACACACAGTCACACACACAGTCACACACAGTCACACAGACAGTCACACACAGTCACACACAGTAACACACAGTCACACAGACAGTCACACACACAGTCACACACACACAGTCACACACACACAGTCACACACACAGTCACACACACAGTCACACACACAGTCACACACACAGTCACACACACAGTCACACACACACAGTCACACACACACAGTCACACACACACAGTCACACACACACAGTCACACACACAGTCACACACACAGTCACACACACAGTCACACACACAGTCACACACACACAGTCACACACACACAGTCACACACACACAGTCACACACACAGTCACACACACAGTCACACACAGTCACACAGACAGTCACACACAGTCACACAGTCACACACAGTAACACACAGTCACACACACAGTCACACACACAGTCACACACACAGTCACAGACAGTCACACACACAGTCACAGACACACAGTCACACACAGACAGTCACACACACACAGTCACACACACACAGTCACACACACACAGTCACACACACACAGTCACACACACAGTCACACACAGTCACACACAGTCACACACAGTCACACACAGTCACACACAGTCACACACAGTCACACACACACACACACAGTCACACACACAGTCACACACACAGTCACACACACACAGTCACACACACAGTCACACACACACAGTCACACACACACAGTCACACACACAGTCACACAGACAGTCACACATACAGTCACACACACAGTCACACACACAGTCACACAGACAGTCACACACACACAGTCACACACACAGTCAGACAGTCACACACACACACACAGTCACACACACAGTCACACACAGACAGTCACACACACACAGTCACACACAGTCAGTCACACACACAGTCACACACACAGTCACACACACAGTCACACACACAGACAGTCACACACACAGTCACACACACAGTCACACACACAGTCACACACACAGTCACACACACAGTCACACACACAGACAGTCACACACAGTCACACACACAGTCACACACACAGTCACACACACAGTCACACACACACAGTCACACACACAGTCACACACACAGTCACACACACAGTCACACACACACAGTCACACACACACAGTCACACACACAGTCACACACACAGTCACACACACAGTCACTCACACACACACAGTCACACACACACAGTCACACACACAGTCACACAGACAGTCACACACACAGTCACACACACAGTCACACACACAGTCACACACACACAGTCACACACACAGTCACACACACACAGTCACACACACAGTCACACACACACAGTCACACACACACAGTCACACACACACAGTCACACACAGACAGTCACACACACAGTCACACACACAGTCACACACACAGTCACACACACACAGTCACACACACACAGTCACACACACACAGTCACACACACAGTCACACACACAGTCACACACACAGTCACACACACAGTCACACACACAGTCACACACACACAGTCACACACACACGGTCACACACACACGGTCGCACACACGGTCACACACACGGTCACGCACACGGTCACGCACACAGTCACGCACACAGTCACGCACACAGTCACACGCACACAGTCACACGCACACAGTCACACGCACACAGTCACACGCACACAGTCACACGCACACAGTCACACGCACACAGTCACACGCACACAGTCACACGCACACAGTCACACGCACACAGTCACACACACAGTCACACACACAGTCACACGCACACAGTCACACGCACACAGTCACACGCACACAGTCACACGCACACAGTCACACGCACACAGTCACACACAGACAGTCACACACATAGTCACACACACAGTCACACACACAGTCACACGCACACAGTCACACGCACACAGTCACACGCACACACACAGACACAGTCACACAGAGTGTGGGGAGCGACAGTGTAGCGGTTAGCGCTACGCTGCGCTATGAACCTGGCGACCCGGGTTCGATTCCCGCTCACGGCCAACACCAGTGACGATTATCTGAACCGGTCCCAGGCCTCCCCTAGGTCGACTCAGCCTCAAATGAGTACCTGGTGCGGTGTAAACATTGCCACTAGGGAGACAAAGGCGGTCGGGCGTGGTGCTGGCCACCCACCCCCTCGTGTACCGTTCCGGCCTTCATAGGTGCTCGCTAACAGCACTTGCCCCTACAGTCTGTTAAGGCTATATGGGGGATCTTTGTGTATGTATGTTTGTGCGTGTGTATGTATGTGTGTGCGTGTATCAGTGTGTGACTAAGACTGTGTGTGACTAAGACTGTGTGTGACTGTGTGTGTGTGTGACTCTGTGTGACTGTGTGTGTGTGTGTCTGTGTGTGTGTGACTATGTGTGTGTGACTGCGCATGACTGTGTGTCTGTGTGTGTGACTGTGTGTGACTGTGTGTGACTGTCTGTGTGTTTGACTGTGTGTGTGTGTGACTGTGTGTGTGTGTGACTGTGTGTGACTGTGTGTGACTGTGTGACTGTGTTACTGTGTGTGTGAGTGACTGTGTTACTGTGTGTGTGAGTGACTGTGTTACTGTGTGTGTGAGTGACTGTGTTACTGTGTGTGTGAGTGACTGTGTTACTGTGTGTGTGAGTGACTGTGTTACTGTGTGTGTGAGTGACTGTGTTACTGTGTGTGCGAGTGACTGTGTTACTGTGTGTGCGAGTGACTGTGTTACTGTGTGTGCGAGTGACTGTGTTACTGTGTGTGCGAGTGACTGTGTGTGTGTGTTACTGTGTGTGTGTGTGTGACTGTGTGTGACTGTGTGTGTGACTGTGTGACTGTCTGTTTGACTGTGTGTGTGACTGTATGTGTTACTGTGTGTGTGTGTGTGACTGTGTGACTGTCTGTGTGACTGTGTGTGTGACTGTGTGTGTGACTGTGTGACAAGCCACTTGCCTCGACGGTCTGCGGAGAGTCGCTGCGAGTTCGCGGTGGGGACCTTTGTCTTTATTAGTCTTTATTTGTTGTTGTTTGTTGTTGTTGGTTGTTGTTGGTTGTTGTTGTTTGATGTTATCGTTGTTGGTTGTTGTTGTTTTGTTGGTTGTTGTGGTTGTTGATGTTGTTGTTGTCGTTGTCGTTGTTGTTGTTGATGTTGTTGTTGTTTGTTGTTGTTTGATGTTGTTGTCGTTGTTGGTTGTTGTTGTTTTGTTTGTTGTTGTTGGTGTTGTTGTCGTTGTTGTTTAGTGTTGTTGTTTGTTGTTGTTGTTGATGTTGTTGTTTGTTGTTGTTGTTGTTGATGTTGTTGTTTGTTGTTGTTGTTTGTGTTGTTGGTGTTGTTGGTGTTGTTGTTGTCGTTGTTGTCGTTGTTGTTGTTTGTTGGTGTTGTTGGTGTTGTTGTTGTTGATGTTGTTGTTTGTGTCCCCCTCTCGTCACAGCTGTGGAGTCGTCGCTGCGTGTGATGGTGCTCGACCTGGCGCAGCGCCACCCTGCGGAGTTCCACGCTGCGCTGAGCACGCTGCCAGCACACAGCGCCTGCAGGCTGCACGCAGGCACAGACTCGCACACACACACAGTCACACACACACAGTCACACACAGTCACACACACACAGTCACACACACTCACAGTCACACACACACACAGTCACACACAGTCACACACTCACACAGTCACACACTCACACAGTCACACACACACACAGTGACACAGTCACACACACTCACTCACACACTCACACAGTCACACACTCACACAGTCACACACACACACAGTGACACAGTCACACACACTCACAGTCACACACACACACAGTCACGCACACTCACAGTCACACACACACAGTGACACACACACACACACACATTCACATACACACAGTCACACACACACAGTCACACACACATAGTCACACACACACAGTCACACACACACAGTCACACACACATAGTCACACACACACAGTCTCACACACACACAGTCACACAACAACAACAACAACAACCGCCATTCGCCACTAAGTGGCGGTGACGTCACCACGACGCTTGTGCCAGGCTATGTGCACCTTGAGGCCACGTGAAGTGTCGAACGCCCGCTGGCAGGAGGTCACGGGGCAGACCCAGGTGCCACGGGTCGACTGACTGAGATGACTGGCTGGTGCACCACCTGTGCCCCCTACTGTGGCAAACTGCTGTGCTTTAGCCACCGGCGCTCCGCTCGTTGTTCTGAGCGTCGCTCCTCCGCCCTCCGTTGTTGTTGGAGGGCGACTACCTCCAACTGCCCAGTAGCGTCCTTCACGAGCCTCCTCCACAGAGGCCGATCTTGACACCGCTGGTACCGGTCATCGGCAAGTCCACTCAGCTCCACGTCCTCCCGTACCACATCACTCCATCTCTTCTCTAGCCCGTGCCGCGCCCGTTTAGCCCCCTCAATCCGGCCAAACAAAAGCTGTTTCGGCATGCGGTGGCTGGGCATGCGGGCTACATGACCCAGCCATCGCAGCCTTGCCTGCCGGAGGAGCTCACCGATGGGACCCTGCCCAGATCTTTCAAGGATTTGTGAGCTCCTCACACAATCCAGCCTGGTTAAACCCAGGATGGATCGTAGGCAGGCCAGCCTAAATGTTTCTAACCGGCGAAGATGTTCCATTAGGGGGGTCCACGTTTCGCAAGCGTAGAGAAGGGAGGGAATGACCGTGGCCGAGAAGACCTGAAGCTTAGTGCGGAGCGACAGACCAGGTAGCTTCCACACAGCGTTACGCAACCGATGAAAAGATATTGCCGCTCGAATGATTCGGAGTGAGACCTCTGCTGTTAAACTGGAGCCAGTCATAAGCACACTGCCCAGGTATGGGAAACTCTCCACTCTCTCCACAACTGCCCCATCACCGATTGGGAGTTGTGGGGGTGGAGTGTCGGATGGTACAAAATACCCAGGCAGGTGCTTAGTTTTGGTGGGGCTGATGGTAAGGCCCCACCTCTTAGTGGCACGCTCCAGTCTCAGCAGCAGCGTCTCCAACTCCTCCTCTGACTGAGCAGCTATTACCAAATCATCAGCATACATAACGTGGTTGAGCAATAGGGAGCCATCCCTTGACCGCACCCGGGCATCGATTAGCCTCCCATTATATCTGTACCATATGGAGATTCCCCCGGTACAGCTATTGAAGGCTTCACGAACTACGGGGTCAAAATAGATGTTAAATAATGTGGGAGCCAGAGGACATCCCTGTCGCACCCCAAGGTGTACAGGGAATGGCTCTGACTCCCGGCCACGTAGTTTTACCCGGGCCCGCTCACCATCATGAAGGTCCTTAATGATCGTGAGCAGAGGGTCAGGTACTCCAAAAGCACGAAGAACGACCCAGAGCCCAGGCCTACTGATGGTATCATAGGCCTTGACCAGGTCAATAAAGCAGAGATGTAGGTCTTGTTGGAATTCCCTACACCTCTGCTGTAGCAGACGGACAGAAAATATGGCATCTGTGCAGGACCGCCCTTTCCTGAAACCGCATTGGGGCTCCGCAAGCCTCTCCTCAGCGTGCCTGGCAAGGCGATGCTGAATAATCCTTGCCAGGACCTTTCCCGGCACACTGAGGAGTGAGATGCCCCTGTAGTTGTTACAGTCTGTGCGGTCCCCCTTCTTAAAAAGGGGGACCACCAGGGCATCCTTCCAATCCTGCGGAACCCGTCCAGTGGTCCAGACTGTTGTTATGATGTCATATAGGGCAGTCTGTGCACAAACGCCACCCTCCCTCAGCATTTCGCTTGAGAGATCATCTCTGCCTGCTGCCTTTCCTGGTCTCAGACTCCGGATCGCCTTCAATACTTCCTCAGCAGATGGCACCTCAGCCAGCCACTCACAGGGGGTGACTTCTTCCAATATTTGAGGCACCGCAGCCTCAGCAGGGTCATCCTCACTTTGTGCCACGATGTTTTCCTGGCTGAGGGATTTTCCCTCCCCCAGGACCTCACAGAAATGCTCAGCAAATCTGCGAACCTGTTCCTGGGGGTCGGAGATTGGATCACCGTTTTTTCCCCTAATGATGGTAATAGGTGTGGCGCTGCAGGTTACTTTTTTGATGGAGTTAAATAGAGATTTGTGATCACGGGCCACTGAGGCAGACTCCATCTCCTCAGCAACCCGCGACCACCACCCATCCTTGCAGCGCCTCACGGCTCTCCGAACCTCCGAGCGAAGGCTGCGGTAAGCCTCCTCATTCTCTGACGTGGGATTCTGTAGCCGATGACAGTGGGCCTGTCGCTTTTTCTCAACCATCCTGAACACCTCCTCTGTCAGCCAGGGTCTCTGGGGAGGTCTGGACCGCGTACCCAAAGCAGCCATTGCAGCTGCATGAGTCACAGTCCTAAACCTCGCCCATTTACCCTCGACATCAGGAGGAGTCGGGGACGATGCCAATCCCAGCCGCAAGCGATGATGAAATTCTCGCTTGCAACTTTCATCAGATAACTGAGACCAGGCCACTTTATGTTGGAATGGGGTCCAGGGTGTACACCCACCACCGGAGTGGAAGAATGGCAGGCGCATCTTACAGATGACTAGTCGATGGTCAGAGGGCAGATCAGCTCCACGGTAGGTCCTGGTGTCAAGAACATGGGCTCGCATTCGCTGGTCCGTCACTATGTAGTCCAGCAGATGTTCTTACTTGGACCCGGCATGCATCCATGATGTTGTGTGGATGCGCCGATGCCGGAACAGTGTGTTGGTAATTACAAGCCCATGGGCTGCACAAAAATCTAGCAGCCTCCTACCGTTGTTATTGAGCTGATCTGGCCCATGCCCTCCAATCACTCCAGACCAGGTGCCAGTATCATGACCAACTCGGGCATTGAAGTCACCCAACATGATGACTCTATCCCGAGGGGCCACTTTAGCCAGCACCTGTGACAGGAGGTCATAGAAGGCATCTGACTCATCGGCTTTGCCTGCATCCCTCCACGGATGTTCATCTTCGGTGGGGGCATAAGTAACCACGACCACCATTCCTCGCCTCCGGTTGATGGGAAGGCGAGCCCAAAGTAGCCTGGGGCTTAGAGCTTCCCACACCTCACCGCCACGCTCCCACGCCCCCTTCATTCTTTTGTTCAAAAGAAGACCCACACCCTGTTGTTTGGCAGTCTGCTGCCCCGAGTAGAGGACTGTCCACCCCTCATGGTGGCAGGAGCCAGAGCCGGTCCACCGGACCTCCTGAATGCCGCATAGATCCAAGCGGTACCGGTCCAGCTCCCGACAGAGGAGTGGCAGCCTCTCCTCTGCAGTGAGCGTTCGAACATTCCACATGGCCACCCGTAGTGGCTTTTCGTCACACACACACACAGTCACACACACACACAGTCACACACACACAGACACACACAGACACACACAGTCACACACAGTCACACACACACACAGTCACACACACTCACAGTCACACACACACAGTCACACACACAGTCACACACACGGTCACACACACACAGACACACACGGTCACACACAGTCACAGTCACACACACACAGTCACACACACACAGTCACACACACACAGTCACACACACACAGTCACACACACACAGTCACACACACACAGTCACACACACTCACACAGTTACACACACACACAGTCACACAACAACAACAACCGCCATTCGCCACTAAGTGGCGGTGACATCACCACGACGCTTGTGCCAGGCTATGTGCACCCTGAGGCCACGTGAAGTGTCGAACGCCCGCTGGCAGGAGGTCACGGGGCAGACCCAGGTGCCACGGGTCGACTGACTGAGATGACTGGCTGATGCACCACCTGTGCCCCCTACTGTGCCAACCTGCTGTGCTTTAGCCACCCGGCGCTCCGCTCGTTGTTCTGAGCGTCGCTCCTCCGTCCTCCGTTGTTGTTGGAGGGCGACTGCCTCCAACTGCCCAGTAGCATCCTTCACGAGCCTCCTCCACAGAGGCCGATCTTGACACCGCTGGTACCAGTCATCGGCAAGTCCACTCAGCTCCACGTCCTCCTGTACCACATCACTCCGTCTCTTCTCTAGCCCGTTCCGCGCCCGCTTAGCCCCCTCAATCCGGCCAAACAAAAGCTGTTTCGGCATGCGGTGGCTGGGCATGCGGGCTACATGACCCAGCCATCGCAACCTTGCCTGCCGGAGAAGCTCACCGATGGGACCCTGCCCAGATCTTTCAAGGATTTGTGAGCTCCTCACACAATCCAGTCTGGTTAAACCCAGGATGGATCGTAGGCAGGCCAGCCTAAATGTTTCTAACCGGCGAAGATGTTCCATTAGGGGGGTCCACGTTTCGCAAGCGTAGAGAAGGGAGGGAATGACCGTGGCCGAGAAGACCTGAAGCTTAGTGCGGAGCGACAGACCAGGTAGCTTCCACACAGCGTTACGCAACCGATGAAAAGATATTGCCGCTCGACTGATTCGGAGTGAGACCTCTGCTGTTAAACTGGAGTCGGTCATGAGCACACTGCCCAGGTATGGGAAACTCTCCACTCTCTCCACAACTGCCCCATCACCGATTGGGAGTTGTGGGGGTGGAGTGTCCGATGGTACAAAATACCCAGGCAGGTGCTTAGTTTTGGTGGGGCTGATGGTAAGGCCCCATCTCTTATTGGCATGCTCCAGTCTCAGCAGCAGCGTCTCCAACTCCTCCTCTGAATGAGCAAAAATTACCAAATCATCGGCATACGTAACATTGTTGACCAATAGGGAAGCATCCCTTGACCGCATCCGGGCATCGATCAGCCTCCCATTATATCTGTACCAGATGGAAATTCCCCCGATACAGCTATTGAAGGCTTCATGAACTACGTGGTCAAAATAGATGTTAAATAATGTGGGAGCCAGAGGACATCCCTGTCGCACCCCAAGGTGTACAGGGAATGGCTCTGACTCCCGGCCACGTAGTTTTACCCGGGCCAGCTCACCATCATGAAGGTCCTTAATGATCGTGAGCAGAGGGTCAGGGACCCCGAAAGTACGAAGAACAACACAGTCACACAAAGATCCCCCATATAGCCTTAGCAGACTGTAGGGGCAAGTGCTGTTAGCGAGCACCTATGAAGGCCGGAACGGTACACGAGGGGGTGGGTGGCCAGCACCACACCCGACCGCCTTTGTCTCCCCAGTGGCGATGTTTACACACCGCACCAAGTACTCATTTGAGGCTGAGTCGACCTAAGGGAGGCCCGGGACCGGTTCAGATAATCGTCACTGGTGTTGGCTCAGTGTGTGTTGTGTATGACACTGACACACATTCACTCACACATACACATACATACACAACACACAGCGTGTGTGTGTGCGCGTCTGTGTGTGTGTGTGCCTGTGTGTGCCTGTGTGTACGTGCGTGTGTGTGTGTGGAGCGGTAGTGTAGCGGTTAGTGCTACGCTGCGCTATGAACCTGGCGACCCGGGTTCGATTCCCGCTCACGGCCAACACCACAATTGACGATTATCTGAACCGGTCCCGGGCCTCCCCTAGGTCGACTCAGCCTCAAATGAGTACCTGGTGTGGTGTGTAAACATCGCCACTGGGGATACAAAGGCGGTCGGGCGTGGTGCTGGCCACCCACCCCCTCGTGTACCGTTCTGGCCTTCATAGGTGCTCGCTAACAGCACTTGCCCCTACAGTCTGTTACAGGCTATATGAGGGATCTTTGTTTTGTGTGTGTAACTGTGTGACTGTGTGTGTGTCTGTGTGTGTGACTGTGTGTGTGTGTCTGTGTGTGTGACTGTGTGTGTGTCTGTGTGTGTGACTGTGTGTGTGTCTGTGTGTGTGCCTGTGTGTGTGTGTGACTGTGTGTGTGACTGACACAGTGCTGTGAATGTCTTGCAGATGCTGCTGCAGCCTTGTCCTGAGAGAGCCGGATACAGCCTGCACACTCGCTCACCACTCCTCACCAACACACGCTCACCACTCCTCGCTCACCACTCCTCACCAACACACGCTCACCACTCCTCACCGACACGCGCTCACCACTCCTCACCGACACACGCTCACCACTCCTCACTGACACGAGCTCACCACTCCTCACCAACACACGCTCACCACTCCTCACCAACACACGCTCACCACTCCTCGCTCACCACTCCTCACCGACACGCGCTCACCACTCCTCACCTACACGCGCTCACCACTCCTCACCGACACGCGCTCACCACTCCTCACCGACACACGCTCACCACTCCTCACCGACACACGCTCACCACTCCTCACCGACACACGCTCACCACTCCTCGCTCACCACTCCTCACCGACACGCGCTCACCACTCCTCACCGACACGAGCTCACCACTCCTCACCGACACGCGCTCACCACTCCTCACCGACACGCGCTCACCACTCAACACTCCTCACCAATCAACGCTCATCACTCCTCACCACTCAAGTAACCCCACCCACACACACCCACACACCTACACACCCACACACTCACCCACACACACACACACAACCACACACACCCACCTACACACACCCCCCTACCCACCCACTCACACTCACCCACACACCCCTACACACCCACCCACACCCATCCACCCACACACACCCACACACACCCACACACACCCACATCCTACATCCACCCACACACACACCCACACCCATCCACCCACCCACACCCATACACACCCACATCCACCCACCCACATACACACCCACACACACCCACGCAGTACGTGGGTGTGTTGAGCCCAGCAGCGTGTGGTAGTAGTCGTGGTGGTGGTGGTGGTGTTGCAGTGCTGCTGATGTTGTTGTTGTGACAGATTAACGCCATTTCGCGTGTGCGAGTTTTGAATCGCCTTGGCAATAAATTAAAATATAAAAAAAACTCTCAACAGCCCAGGTGAGTGGACGGAGATGGCCCTGCACAGACACAGATACACACACAGACACGCACACACAGATACACACACGCACACAGAGACACACACACACAGAGGCACACAGACACGCACACACACACAGACACACACCTACACACAGACACACCACACCCAGCAGGTGCCATGGGTTGACTGCTGTGCCAGGCTAGGTGCAGGAGGAGGCCGTGGGACAGACCCAGCAGGTGCCATGGGTTGACTGCTGTGCCAGGCTAGGTGCAGGAGGAGGTCAAGGGACAGACCCAGCAGGTGGCCATGGGTTGACTGCTGTGCCAGGCTAGGTGCAGGAGGAGGAGGTCACAGGACAGACCCAGCAGGTGCCGTGGGTTGACTGCTGTGCCAGGCTAGGTGCAGGAGGAGGAGGTCACGGGACAGACCCAGTTGGTGCCATGGGTTGACTGCTGTGCCAGGCTAGGTGCAGAGGGAGGCCTTGGGACAGACCCAGGTGGTGCCATGGGTTGACTGCTGTGCCAGGCTAGGTGCAGGAGGAGGTCACGGGACAGACCCAGCAGGTGGCCATGGGTTGACTGCTGTGCCAGGCTAGGTGCAGGAGGAGGTTTCATCCGCCCCCGGCGCTCCGCCCTTCGTTGCGAGCGCCCGCTCCTCCGCCCCCAATCCATCTCTTCCCGGGTCGCGTCACGGTGCACCTAGCCTGGCACCAGCCTTGGAACGCCCGCCGGGTGACCGCCCCTGGGCCCGCGCCACCTTCAACGTTTATTTTTGCAACAATGTACTTTATTACGGAAAGAAATATAGACTTTTTTAAAAAAAAAATGAACACATGCACACACACACACACGCGCGCGTTCGCGAGTCCGACTTAAAACGTGGGGTGGCTTTAACCCACATTGTTTCCCTTTTAAAAAAATGGTTAAAATGCCCAAAACAAACACGAATGCTAAATTCACCGCCCCGGCAAACCACACTTCACAACAATGGCCAAATGTAGCTGCAGCGTTGCCGCGCGGCAACTGCAGTCGATTAAAAACCTCTGCGTGTCACCCGGAACGTTTTCCCCTCAAAAACGTCGTTCCCCACCCCATCAAACAAATGTATTTCCCTCAGAAATGTTTTTTTTTTTCCCTCTCAAATACGTATTTCCCTCAAACATCTGCTTTCGTTTCCTTAACTTACATTTTTTTTCCCTCGACCATATTTCCCCCCCCCCCTCAAAAACATCAGTTTTCCCTCAAAAACAACGGTTTTTATCTTTTAAAACATTAGTTTTTATCTTCAAAACATTAGTTTTCCCTCAAAAACAATGGTTTTCATCTTTAAAAACATTAGTTTTTATCTTAAAAACATCAGTTTTCCCTCAAAAACAACGGTTTTCATCTTTAAAAACATTAGTTTTTATCTTAAAAACATCAGTTTTCCCTCAAAAACAACTGTTTTTCCTCAAAAACATAAATTTTTATCTTAAAAACATTAGTTTTCCCTCAAACAACTTTTTCCCTCAAAAGCATCTGTTTTTATCTTTAAAAACATCAGTTTTCCCTCAAAAACAACTGTTTTTAATCTTTTAAAACATTCGTTTTTTTCCCCCTTCAAAACCATAGTCTTTTCCTCACACACCTGTTTTTCCCTCAAACAGCATCTCCCTATCTACGAATAAAACTTTTAAAACGACAAACACCGGCCCTAGGGCCCCCCCCCTCCCCCAACAGGGCATCTTCAACACGTGACAATGTTCGTGATGTTTCGCACATCATATTTGCTGTCGTTCTTCTTCTATAAACGAACGCCCCCAACAACAACAACAGCAACAACTACGATCGCGAGAAATAATAACGTTATGCCATTTTTTTTAAACAAACAAAAAAAAGGTAAAATAAAACAACATCGCCATAGCAACAACAAACATCAACAAAATAAAACCTCATTCTCCGTATGCAACAACTCAAAAAAACTCCGCTACGTCCCCTCTCCACCTTGATTCGCCTCGATCCTTAGAGCAAAGGCGGTAAATGTCCCTTGCGGAGAGAGAGAGAAGATGATGATGATGGTGAGAGGTGAGAAACCTTGAAGAAATATTATTTCTAAAACGACAAGAAGCATTTGCAAACTTTACGGGGGGGGGGGGGGTGGTTGTTAGAAATTTTTTGCCGACGGGGACTGTAAATTGATTTGGGAGTTACCACCAACAAACTCCCACGTTTAAAGCTTTCGTGACTGCATGTAATTCATATTCTTAGTTTTTTTCGGTAAAGAAGATGACCGTTTGAGTTATGGTCGAAACGTCGTGGGGAATTTTTTTTATTGTTTTATATATATTTTATTATTTTGTTGTTTCCCTTCAACGTGACTTTACCGAAAAAACTAAGAATATAAACTCCCACGTCTTATAGGGGACCGCCCGCCCCTATAGCGCAGTGCTCCTCATCGGCGCCGAAGAAGCCGCCCGGCGTACAGTCGTTGCCAAACTGCAGGGGTCGCGAGCACCGCACGGCACGGCTTCTGGACGCCTGGGGACAGCGCCCAGGTGGACAGCCGCTCGGACCCGAGTGGCCGATGGTGTCGTCATCGTCAGCATCGTCATCATCGTCGTCGTCAGCGTCGTCAGCTTCGTCGTCAGCATCGTCGGCGTCGTCAGCGTCGTCATCGTCGTCAGCGTCGTCATCGTCGTCGTCAGCTTCGTCGTCAGCATCGTCATCAGCATCATCAGCGTCATCATCGTCGTCGTCAGCGTCAGTGTCGTCATCATCGTCATCGTCAGCGTTGTCATCGTCAGCGTCGTCGTCAGTGTCGTCGTCGCCGACGTCGTGTGGAAATTTATAGCAGCAGTCTAATGCTCTAAACGTACACACAGAGACCCATAGAGACACACAGAGACACAGAGATACAGAGACACACAGAGACTCACACAGACAGAGACCACAGAGACCCACAGAGACACACAGACAGAGACGCACAGAGATACAGAGACACACAGAGACTCACACAGACAGAGACCACAGAGACCCACAGACAGAGACGCACAGAGATGCACAGAGATACAGAGACCCATAGAGACCCACTGAGACTCGCACAGACACAGAGACCTACAAAGACCCACAGAGACTCACACAGACACAGAGACCCACAGAGACTCACACAGACAGACCCACAGAGACTCACACAGACACAGACCCACAGAGACTCGCAGAGACCCACAGAGACCTACAAAGACCCACAGAGACCCACAGACACCTATCGAGACCCATGCTAAAACGAAACGTCACTTCACGGGGTCGTCAAGGATGCATCATGCAGCTGTGGAGCTGGGGAGGTAGAAGCGACCGATGGCAAATCGTGAACAGCTCAATCCAGAGTGGCCCACTCCATATCATCGTTCCGCTTGTCACGCCAAAATCAGTGAAGAACACTGCCCTATAGGGGACACCACCACCACCACCATCCCTCAGCCCATATAGAAACGCCCATAGGGGACCCCCCGCAGCCCTATAGGGGGACCACCCTACACCCCTGGGTTAAGCGCTGTACATTCGGGGGGGGAGACGCGCGGGGGGAGACGCGCGGGGGGAGAGACACAGGGGAGAGACGCGTGGGGGGAGACACGGGGGGAGACGCAGAGGGAGACACGGGGGGAGACACGCGGAGACACTCGGAGGCACGGGGAGAGACACGCAGAGACACGGGGGGAGACACACGGGAGGAGAGACACACGGGGGGAGAGACACACGGGAGGAGACACACGGGGAGAGACACGAGGAGACAGAGACAGAGAGACACACAGGGGGAGACACACGGGAGGAGAGACACGGGGGGAGACACTCAGGGGGAGACACGAGGAGACACAGACAGAGAGAGACACGGGGGGAGACACTCAGGGGGAGACACAGACAGAGAGAGACACGGAGCTCCACGTGTGTGTAAAGGCTAGAAGGCTCCACCACAGAGATCCGGTTGCGTTTAAGATTGCGTGCGACGCTCGATACATTCGGTTGCGCTAAGGTTGCGCTAAGGTTGCGCTAAGGTTGCGCTAAGGTTGCGCCAAGGTTGCGCCAAGGTTGCGCTAAGGTTGCGCTAAGGTTGCACGCGACTACATTGCCTGAAGGTTGCGCTAAGGTTGCACGCGACTCGGTTGCGTGAAGGTTGCACGTGACGCCAGTTGCATTCGGTTGCACGCAACTTCATCGCGTTTGAGATTGCGCGACACTTGTTGTGTCCTGTTGGCGCACGCGCAACCAAACGCAACCGTATCCACGCACACACACACCCTGACATACACACACTGACATACACACACCCTGACACACACACACACACACACACCCTGACGTACACACCCTGACGTACACACACACACCCTGACACACACACCCTGACATACACACCCTGACGTACACACACACACACCCTGACATACACACACACACACACCCTGACACACACACACACACACCCTGACGTACACACACACCCTGACATACACACACACACACCCTGACATACACACACACACACCCTGACACACACACACACACACCCTGACGTACACACACACCCTGACATACACACACACACACCCTGACACACACCCTGATATACACACATACATAGACACACACACCCTGACATACACACACCCTGACGTACACGCACACACACACCCTGACATACACAACAACAACAACAACAACAACCGCCATTCGCCACTAAGTGGCGGTGACGTCACCACGACGCTTGTGCCAGGCTATGTGCACCCTGAGGCCACGTGAAGTGTCGAACGCCCGCTGGCAGGAGGTCACGGGGCAGACCCAGGTGCCACGGGTCGACTGACTGAGATGACTGGCTGATGCACCACCTGTGCCCCCTACTGTGCCAACCTGCTGTGCTTTAGCCACCCGGCGCTCCGCTCGCTGTTGTGAGCGTCGCTCCTCCGCCCTCCGTTGTTGTTGGAGGGCGACTGCCTCCAACTGCCCAGTAGCATCCTTCACGAGCCTCCTCCACAGAGGCCGATCTTGACACCGCTGGTACCAGTCATCGGCAAGTCCACTCAGCTCCACGTCCTCCTGTACCACATCACTCCATCTCTTCTCTAGCCCGTGCCGCGCCCGCTTAGCCCCCTCAATCCGGCCAAACAAAAGCTGTTTCGGCATGCGGTGGCTGGGCATGCGGGCTACATGACCCAGCCATCGCAGCCTTGCCTGCCGGAGGAGCTCACCGATGGGACCCTGCCCAGATCTTTCAAGGATTTGTGAGCTCCTCACACAATCCAGTCTGGTTAAACCCAGGATGGATCGTAGGCAGGCCAGCCTAAATGTTTCTAACCGGCGAAGATGTTCCATTAGGGGGGTCCACGTTTCGCAAGCGTAGAGAAGGGAGGGAATGACCGTGGCCGAGAAGACCTGAAGTTTAGTGCGGAGCGACAGACCAGGTAGCTTCCACACAGCGTTACGCAACCGATGAAAAGATATTGCCGCTCGACTGATTCGGAGTGAGACCTCTGCTGTTAAACTGGAGCCACATACATAGACACACACACCCTGACACACACACACCCTGACGTACACGCACACACACACCCTGACATACACACACACACACCCTGACATACACACCCTGACGTACACACACACACCCTGACATACACACACACACACACACCCTGACGTACACACACACACCCTGACATACACACACACACACACACCCTGACGTACACACACACACCCTGACGTACACACATACATACACCACACACACACCCTGACGTACACACATCCTGACATACACACACACACACACCCTGACGTACACACACACCACGTACACACACACCCTGACGTACACACACACACCCTGACACACACACACACACCCTGACATACACACACACATACACCCTGACACACACACACACACCCTGACATACACACACACACACACCCTGACGTACACACATACATACACCACGTACACACACACACCCTGACATACACACATACATACACCACGTACACACACACACCCTGACATACACACATACATACACCACGTACACACACACACCCTGACATACACACATACATACACCACGTACACACACACACCCTGACATACACACACACACACACCCTGACATACACACACACACACACCCTGACATACACACACACACACCCTGACATACACACACACACCACGTACACACACACACCCTGACATACACACACCCTGACATACACACACACACCACGTACACACACACACCCTGACGTACACACACCCTGACATACACACACACACCACGCACACACACACACCCTGACGTACACACACCCTGACATACACACACACACCACGTACACACACACACCCTGACGTACACACACCCTGACGTACACACACACACCACGTACACACACACACACCCTGACGTACACACACATACCCTGACGTACACACACACACACACTGACACACACACACACACCACGTACACACACACCCTGACACACACCCTGACATACACACACACACACACACCACGTACACACACACACCCTGACGTACAACACACACCACGTACACACACACACACCCTGACACACACACCCTGACATACACACACACACACACACCCTGACGTACAACATACACACCACGTACACACACACACACCCTGACATACACACACCCTGACGTACACACACACACCCTGACGTACACACACACACCCTGACGTACACACACACATACACCACGTACACACACACCCTGACATACACACACCCTGACATACACACACCCTGACGTACACACACACACCCTGACGTACACACACACACACCCTGACGTACACACACACACCCTGACGTACACACACACACATACACCACGTACACACACACCCTGACATACACACACACACACACCTTAACCTACACACACACCTTAACCTACACACACCCTGACATACACACACCCTGACGTACACACACACCCACACACCTTAACCTACACACACCCTGACGTACACACATACACCTTAACCTACACACACCCTGAAGTACACACACACCTTAACCTACACACACCCTGACGTACACACATACACCTTAACCTACACACATCCTGACGTACACACACCCTGACATACACACACCCTGACGTACACACACACACCCTGACGTACACACACCTTAACCTACATACACCCTGACGTACACACACACACCCCCTGACGTACACACACCCTGACGTACACACACCCTGATGTACACACACACCCTGACGTACATACACCACATACACACCCTAACGTACACACACACACCACGTACACACACCCTAACGTACACACACACACCACATACATACACACACCACACACACACGCGCTTGCGTGCGTTCTACCGATCCCATGCAAAGCAGCAGCGTCTGCAAGGCGACTCGTCTACGGGCTCGGACGACGCTCACCGCTAGACCAGGACACCTGGGAGTTGGCCGGCACCGCCGGCACCACAGGCACCGCCACAGGCACCGCCACAGGCACAGGCACCGGCGTCGGCGTGGTGCTTGCATCGACAAAGTGGTTGCTGTGCTTCGCTTAGCGGGGCCGAGGAGGGGCGTGGAACCGTCTGTGGCAGCGCCGGCAGGCTGGGGTCGACCTCCCCCCCCTCCTCCTCCTGCCCCGCTCGGCAACCCCGGCTAAGGGCGCCGGCGATGCCGGCGACGGTGGCGACGGTGGCGACGGTGACGCCGGCGTCTTAGTCACGGCGGAGAAGCTCTCTCGCTCGCTCGCTCGGTGTGGCGGGGTAAGGAACAAGGCACGGGGCGCCAGCGAGGTTCCACCGCGTAGCCGGCGCCGCCTGACGCCAGCGACGGGCGGCGGCGGCGGGAGGAGGGAGGAGGAGGGATGGAGGAGGTGGATCACCTTGGGGCGCCTCTGGTTCTTGCCGCCGATTGCGCAAGTTTGGAGTGTCAGGAGTCACGGCAAGGCGCCGGAGGAACTTGAGGCACCGGCGCCGCCAGCCGGGAGGTCGTACATGTCCCTCCAGATGATTTCATTCACTGTGGTGGTGGTGGTGGTGGGGGGGGGGGAGGTGTGGGGGGGTGTGGGGGGGGAAGAGAGCGAGTGAGGTGAGGCACAGCAGTAAGCAGCACTCACTCAGCCACTCACTCAGCCACCCGTTCACTCGCCCACTCACTCAGCCACTCGCTCACTCACCCACTCACTCAGCCACCCATTCACTCGCCCACTCACCCGCTCACTCACCCACCCATTCACTCATCCACTCACTCACCCAGCCACTCACTCATCCACTCACTCACCCAGCCACTCACTCAGCCACTCGCTCACTCAGCCACTCATTCACCCACTCATCCACCCACTCGCTCACTCATTCACTCACTCAGCCACTCGCTCATTCACCCACCCATTCACTCACCCACCCATTCACTCACCCACTCACCCAGCCACTCGCTCATCCACTCACCCAGCCACTCACTTTGCCACTCACTCAGCCACCCACTCAGCCACTCGCTCACTCAGCCACCCACTCATCCACCCACTCAGCCACTCACTCAGCCACTCGCTCACTCAGCCACCCACTCATCCACCCACTCAGCCACTCACTCAGCCACTCATTCACCCAGCCACCCACTCATCCACTCACTCACCCAGCCACTCACTCACCCAGCCACTCACTTTGCCACTCAGCCACTCACTCAGCCACCCACTCATCCACTCACCCAGCCACTCAGCCACTCGCTCACTCAGCCACCCACTCATCCACTCACTCACCCAGCCACTCAGCCACTCACTCAGCCACCCACTCATCCACTCACTCATCCACCCACCCACACACTCACTCACCCACTCACTCAGCCAACAACCGCCATTCGCCACTAAGTGGCAGTGATGTCACCACGCCAGGCTATGTGCATGTTGAAGCCACATGAAGTCTCGAAGGCCCGCTGGCAGAAGGTCACGGGGCAAACCCAGGTACCAGGGGTCGACTGACTAAGATGACTAACTGATGCACCACCTGGGCCCCCTACTGTGCCAACTCGCTATGCTTTAGCCACCCGGCGCTCCGCTCGTTGTTGTGAGCATCGCTCCTCCGCCCTCCGTTGTTGTTGGAGGGCGACTGCCTCCAACTGCCCAGTAGCGTCCTTCACGGGCCTCCTCCACAGAGGCCGATCTTGACACCGCTGGTACCGGTCATCAGAAAGTCCACTCAGCTCCACGTCCTCCTGTACCACGTCACTCCATCTCTTCTCTAGCCCATGCCGCGCCCGTTTAGCCCCCTCGATCTGGCCGAACAAAAGCTGTATCGGCATGCGGTGGCTACATGACCCAGCCAACGCAGCCTTGCCTACCGGAGGAGCCCACCGATGGGACCTTGCCCAGATCTTTCAAGGATTTGTGAGCTCCTCACACAATCCAGCCTGGTTAAACCCAGGATGGATCGTAGGCAGGCTACCCTAAATGTTTCTAACCGGCGAAGATGTTCGATTAGGGGGGTCCACGTTTCGCAAGCATAGAGAAGGGAGGGAATGACCGTGGCCGAGAAGACCTGAAGCTTAGTGCGGAACGACAGAACAGGTAGCTTCCACACAGCGTTACGCAACCGATGAAAATATATTGCCGCTCGACTGATTCGGAGTGAGACCTCTGCTGTTAAACTGGAGTCGGTCATGAGCACACTGCCCAGGTATGGGAAACTCTCCACTCTCTCCACAACTGCCCCATCACCGATTGGGAGTTGTGGGGGTGGAGTGTCCGATGGTACAAAATACCCAGGCAGGTGCTTAGTTTTGGTGGGGCTGATGGTAAGGCCCCATCTCTTAGTGGCACGCTCCAGTCTCAGCAGCAGCGCCTCCAACTCCTCCTCTGAATGAGCAGCTATTACCAAATCATCGGCATACATAACGTGGTACAGCTATTGAAGGCTTCACGAACTACGTGGTCAAAATAGATGTTAAATAATGTGGGAGCCAGAGGACATCCCTGTCGCACCCCAAGGTGTACAGGGAATGGCTCTGACTCCCGGCCACGTAGTTTTACCCGGGCCCGCTCACCATCATGAAGGTCCTTAATGATCGTGAGCAGAGGGTCAGGAACTCCATAAAAGCACGAAGAACAACCCAGAGCCCAGGCCAATAAGGCAGGGATGTAGGTCTTGTTGGAATTCCCTATACCTCTGCTGTAGCAGACGGACAGAAAATATGGCATCTGTGCAGGACCGCCCTTTCCTGAAACCGTATTGGGGCTTCGCAAGCCTCTCCTCAGCGTGCCTGGCAAGGCGATGTTGAATAATCCTTGAGGAGTAAGATGCCCCTGTAGTTGTTACAGTCTGTGCGGTCCTGCTTCTTAAAGAGGGGGACCACCAGGGCATCCTTCCAATCCTGCGGAACCTGTCCAGTGGCCCAGACTGTTGTTATGATGTCATGTAGGGCAGTCTGTGCACAAACGCCACCCTCCCTCAGCATTTTGCTTGGCAGATCATCTCTGCCCGGTGCCTTTCCTGGTCTCAGACTCTGGATCGCCTTCTGTACTTCCTCAACAGATGACACCTCAGCCAGCCACTCACAGGGGGTGACTTCTTCCAATATTTGAGGCACTGCAGCCTCAGCAGGGTCATCCCCACTTTGTGCCACGATGTTTTCCTGGCTGAGGGATTTCTCCTCCCCCAGGACCACACAGAAACGCTCAGCAAATCTGCAAACTTGTTCCTGGGGGTCGTAGATTGGATCACCGTTCTTTCCCCTAATGAAGGTAATAGGTGTGGCGCTGCAGATTACTTTTTTGATGGAGTTAAATAGAAATTTGTGATCGCGGGCCATTAAGGCACATTCCATCTCCTCAGCTACCCGCGACCACCACCCGTCCTTGCAGCGCCTCACGGCTCTCCGAACCTCCGAGCGAAGGCTGCGGTAAGCCTCCTCATTCTCTGACATGGGATGCTGTAGACAATGAGAGTGGGCCTGTCGCTTTTTCTCAGCCAGCTTGAACACCTCTGTCAGCCAGGGTCTCTGGGGCGGTCTGGACCGCGTACCTAAAGCAGCCATTGCAGCTGCATGAGCCACAGTCCTAAACCTCGCCCATTTCCCCTCGACATCAGGAGGAGTGGGGGATGATGCCAACCCACAGCTGCAAGCGATGATGAAATTCTCACTTGCAACTTTCATCAGATAACTGAGACCAGGCCACTTTAGGTTGGAATGGGGTCCTGGGTGTATACCCACCACCGGAGTGAAAGAATGGCAGGCGCATCTTACAGATGACTAGTCGATGGTCAGAGGGCAGATCAGCTCCACGGTAGGTCCTGGTGTCAAGGACATGGGCCTGCATCTGTTGTTCCGTCACTAGTCCAGCAGATATTCTTGCTTGGACCCGGCATGCATCCATGATGCTGTGTGGATGCGCCGATGCCGGAACAGCGTGTTGGTAATTACAAGCCCATTGGCTGCACAATCTAGCAGCCTCCTGCTGTTGTTATTGAGCTGATCTGGCCCATGCCTTCCGATCACTCCAAACCAGGTACCAGCATCATGACCAACTCGGGCATTGAAGTCACCCAACATGATGACTCTATCCCGAGGGGCCACTTTAGCCAGCACCTGTGACAGGAGGTCATAGAAGGCATCTGACTCATCGGCGTTGCCTGCATCCCTCCACGGATGTTCGTTTTCGGTGGGGGCATAAGTAACCACGACCACCACTCCTCGCCTCCAGTTGATGGGAAGGCGAGCCCAAAGTAGCCTGGGGCTTACAGCTTCCCACACCTCACCGCCACGCTCCCACGCCCCCTTCATTCTTTTGTTCAAAAGAAGAGCCACACCCTGTTGTTTGGCAGTCTGCTGCCCCGAGTAGAGGACTGTCCACCCCTCATGGTGGCAGGAGCCAGAACCGGTCCACCGGACCTCCTGAATGTCACAGAGATCCAGGCGGTACCGGTCCAGCTCCCGACAGAGGAGTGGCAGCCTCTCCTCCGCAGTGAGCGTTCGAACATTCCACGTGGCCACACGAAGTGGCTTTTTGCTGTTTCTAGAGGAGCCCCGAGGGTAAATATTCAATTGGGGTTTGGCCAGGAGACGTCATAGACGCCTGTCCCCCACGGGGCCTCTGGCACAATTTAATTCAATATTTCAAACGTGGTTTAGTGGTAATTCATTGAAGGTGGTAGGGTTACCAGCCCCTCGCACCCGTCCAGAGCCCCCATTGGCCGCTGTGGTGGCTCCAAACGCCATGAGGGGAATGGCCGATTGAAATTGGCCCTCCCCCCCATGGCACTGCTCACCACGGCATTGCCGTCCGGCACCACTCACTCAGCCACCCACTCAACCACCCACTCAGCCACCCACTTAGCTACCCACTCAGCCACCCAATCACTCTATCAGCGGTGGCAGCAGCGGCGGTAGCAGCGGCCACGACGTACGGTCCTCCAGGATGTACGGCGGGAACTCCTCCTTGACCGGGGCTTGGGGGCGTGCGCCGTCACCGCCGTCACCGCCGTCACCGCCGCCACCGGCGCCGCCACCGGCGCCGCCGCCGGCGACCTCCGTCCGAGCCACGCTGCCTCCCTCGCCCTCGCCGGCGGCGCCGGCGCCGGCGCCGGCGTCCATCCCCGGCGCCGGCGGGCTAAACCCAAACGCGGTGAGGCACGGCGCCGAGTGGCTGAGACGGGGCGGGCGTCCCAGCTCGGGCACGGTCAGCGCATTCAGCTGCTGCTGCTGCTGCTGGTGGTGGTGGTGGTGCTGGTGGTGGTGCTGCTGGTGGTGGTGCTGCTGGTGGTGCTGCTGGTGGTGCTGGTGGTGGTGGTGGTGGTGCAGCTGCCGGCGCTGGTCGTGAATGTCACCGGGGAGGTTGCTGATCCCGCCGTGCCGTGTCGGGCTCGGCCGCCGCCTGCTTCCGCCGGTGCCGGTGCCCTGCTGGTGCATCCCGGGCAGCAGCAGCAGCACCTGCTGTTGCTGCTGCTGCTGCAACATTCCCGGTACAATTCTCTGCTGCTGCTGCTGCTGTTCTGGATAGGGCAGTAGAAGCTGCTGCTGCTGCTGCTGCTGCTGCTGCTGCTGGTGGTGTAGAGCCGGTGCCATGGCGGCTCCGTTGTGCGCCGGCGATGCCAGCAGCAGCAGCGGCAGGGTCGGGCTGCTGTGCTGCTGCTGCTGGTGCTGGTGGTGGTGGTGGTCCTGCTGGTGCTGGTGGTGGTGGTGGTGGTGGTCCTGCTGGTGCTGGTGGTCCTGCTGGTGCTGGTGGTGGTCCTGCTGGTGCTGGTGGTGGTGGTGGTGGTGGTGGTGCCGCGGTGTGGGGATAGCGACGGGCCTAGTCGGGCTGCAGGGGAGGAGGCCGAAGGGACGCGGCGGTGCCGGTGCCTCCAGCGCCATCGCCTCCTCCACCTCCTCCACCTCGTCCACCTCGTCCACCTCCACCTCGTCCACCTCCTCCGCCGTCACCGCCGAGCCGGCGGTGACGGCGTCGGCGTCGTCGTCGTCGTCCCGAGAGCGCTCCGGGAACATCGTCTCCTGCTTGATGAGGATGCTGGCGCCTGGGATGGTGGTGGGGACATGGAGCGGGCATCATTCACGCAGTGCTGGTGTGGGTGGGTGGGTGTGTGGGTGGCTGGGTGGGTGGGTGGGTGGCTGGGTGGGTGGGTGGGTGGGTGCGTGGGTGGTTGGGTGGGTGGCTGAGTGGGTGGGTGGGTGGCTGGGTGGGTGGGTGGGTGTTTGGGTGGGTGGGTGGCTGGGTGGGTGGGTGGGTGGCTGGGTGGGTGGGTGGGTGGCTGGGTGGGTAGCTGGGTGGGTGGGTGGCTGGGTGGGTGGCTGGGTGGGTGGCTGGGTGGGTAGCTGAGTGGGTGGCTGGGTGGGTGGGTGGGTGGCTGGGTGGGTGGCTGGGTGGGTGGGTGGATGGGTGGGTGGCTGGGTGGGTGGGTGGCTGGGTGGGTGGGTAGCTGGGTGGGTGGCTGGGTGGGTGGCTGGGTGGGTAGCTGAGTGGGAAGGTAGCTGGGTGGGTGGGTAAATGAGTGGGTGGGTGTGACGGTAAGTGTGTGGGTGTGACGGTGGGTGGGTGTGACGGTAAGTGTGTGGGTGGATGACTGAGTGGGTGGCTGGGTGGGTGGGTGGCTGGGTGGGTAGCTGGGTGGGTGGGTAAATGAGTGGGTGGATAGATGAGTGGGTGGGTGGATGGCTGAGTGGGTGGATGACTGAGTGGGTGGCTGGTTGGGTGGGTGGCTGGGTGGGTAGCTGGGTGGGTGGGTAAATGAGTGGGTGGATAGATGAGTGGGTGGGTGGATGGCTGAGTGGGTGGATGACTGAGTGGGTGGGTGAGTGGGCGAGTGGAGCTGAGTGGCTGGGTGGGTAGCTGAGTGAGTGGGTAAATGAGTGGGTGGATAGATGAGTGGGTGGGTGTAACGGTAAGTGTGTGGGTGGATAGCTGATTGGGTGGATGACCGAGTGGGTGGATGAGTGAGTGGGCGAGTGGAGCTGAGTGGCTGAGTGGGTGAGTGGGTGGCTGAGTGGCTGGGTGAGTGGCTGAATGAGTGGCTGAGTGAGTGGCTGAGTGAGTGGCTGGGTGAGTGAGTGGCTGAGTGACTGAATGAGTGAGTGAGTGGCTGAGTGACTGAATGAGTGAGTGGCTGAGTGAGTGGCTGGGTGAGTGAGTGAATGGCTGAGTGGCTGGGTGAGTGAGTGGCTGGGTGAGTGAGTGGCTGGGTGAGTGAGTGGCTGAGTGAGTGGCTGGGTGAGTGAGTGAGTGGCTGACTGAGTGAGTGGCTGAGTGAGTGAGTGGCTGAGTGAGTGAGTGGCTGGGTGAGTGAGTGGCTGAGTGAGTGAGTGGCTGGGTGAGTGAGTGAATGGCTGAGTGAGTGAGTGGCTGGGTGAGTGAGTGAATGGCTGAGTGAGTGAGTGACTGAGTGAGTGAGTGGCTGGGTGGCTGCACTACCGCCGTGTGGACGGTAGTGCAGGTAGTGCTGCTGCTGGCTGCGTTTCTGTTTGCCGTTGGACACCGCCACCTGAACCGGCACCGGCGCCGCCAGCGCCGCGTCGTGGAACGGCGGCACCACCACCGTCAGATGAGTCTGCACCACCGTCACCACCACCATCACCACCACCGTCACCACCACCGTCACCACCACCACCACCACCGTCACCACCACCATCACCACCACCGTCACCACCACCACAATCACCACCACTACCACCACCACCGTCACCACCACCGTCACCACAATCACCACCACCACCGTCACCACCACCGTCACCACAAACACCACCACAATCACTACCACCACCGTCACCACCACCGTCACCACCACCGTCACCACCACCACCGTCACCACAATCACCACCACAATCACCACCACTGTCACCACCACCGTCACCGTCACCACGGTTCAAATGTTGCCAACTTTGACCCATTACACCGCAATGAGCGGCTGACGAGAAGGGAAAGCAGCGTGGAGGGTGACTCACTCACTAACTCACTCACTCACTCACCCACTCACTCACTCACTCACCCACTCACTCACCCACTCACTCACTCACTCACCCACTCACTCACCCACTCACTCACTAACTCACTCACCCACTCACTCACCCACTCACTCACTCACCCACTCACTCACTAACTCACTCACTCACCCACTCACTCACTCACTCACCCACTCACTCACTCACCCACTCACTCACCCACTCACTCACTCACCCACTCACTCACCCACCCACTCACTCACCCACCCACCCACCCACCTACCCACTCACCCACTCACTCATCCACACACCCACTCACCCACTCACTCACCCACTCACTCACTCACCCACTCACTCACCCACTCACCCACTCACTCACTCACTCACTAACTCACCCACTCACCCACTCACCCACTCACCCACTCACTCACTCACTCACCCACTCACTCACTCACTCACTCACTCACTAACTCACCCACTCACTCACTCACCCACTCACTAACTAACTAACTCACTCACTCACCCACTCACTCACTCACTCACCCACTCACTCACCCACTCACTCACTCACTCACCCACTAACTCACTCACTCACCCACTCACTCACTCACTCACCCACTAACTCACTCACCCACCCACTCACTCACTTACCCACCCACCCACTCACTCACTCACCCACTCACCAACTCACCCACTCACCCACCCACCCACTCACTCAGCCACTCACTCACCCACCCACTCACCCACCCACCCACTCACCCACCCACCCACCCACTCACCCACCTACCCACTCACTCACTCACCCACTCACTCACTCACCCACTCACTTACCCACTCACTCACCCACTCACTCACTCACCCACTCAAACACTCACTCACTCACCCACCCACCCACTCACTCACCCACTCACTCAATCGCTCGCCCAGTCGCTCACTCACTCACCCACTCACTCACCCACTCACTAACTCACTCACTCACTCACCCACTCACTCACCCACTCACTCACCAACTCACTCACTCACCCACCCACCCACCTACCCACTCACTCACCCACCCACTAACTCAATCGCTCGCCCAGTCGCTCACTCATGCTGCGACTCTTACGGGCGAGAATAATTCTTTGTCCACACGGCCCTCCGCCTCCCAGAGCGGTCGGCCATCTGCAGGGAGAGAGACGGAGACAGAGAGACAGAGACACAGTGAGAGACAGAGAGAGACAGAGAGAGACAGAGAGAGAGAGAGAGACACAGAGAGACAGAGACAGAGTGAGAGACGGAGACACAGTGAGAGACAGAGAGAGACAGAGACACAGTGAGAGACAGAGAGAGACAGAGAGAGAGAGAGACAGAGAGAGACAGAGAGAGAGACAGAGAGACAGAGACACAGTGAGAGACAGAGAGAGACAGAGACACAGAGAGAGACAGAGACACAGTGAGAGACAGAGAGAGACAGAGACACAGTGAGAGACAGAGAGAGAGACAGAGAGAGAGACAGAGACACAGAGAGAGAGACAGAGAGAGACAGAGACACAGTGAGAGACAGAGAGAGACAGAGACACAGTGAGAGACACAGAGAGACAGAGAGAGACAGAGACACAGTGAGAGACAGAGAGAGACAGAGACACAGTGAGAGACACAGAGAGACAGAGAGAGACAGAGACACAGTGAGAGACACAGAGAGACAGAGAGAGACACAGAGAGAGAGAGAGAGAGACACAGAGAGAGACACAGAGAGAGAGAGACAGAGAGAGACACAGAGAGAGACAGAGACACAGTGAGAGACACGGAGACAGAGAAACGGAGAGAGAGACAGAGACACGGTGAGAGACAAGGAGAGAGACAGAGACAGAGAGAGACACAGAGAGAGACAGAGACACAGTGAGAGACACAGAGAGACAGTGAGAGACAAGGAGAGAGACAGAGACACAGTGAGAGACAGAGAGAGAGACAGAGACACAGTGAGAGACAGAGAGCGAGACAGAGACACAGTGAGAGACAAGGAGAGAGACAGAGACACAGTGAGAGACAGAGAGAGAGACGGAGACACAGTGAGAGACAGAGAGACAGAGACACAGTGAGACACAGTGAGAGACAGAGAGAGACAGAGAGAGACACAGAGAGAGAGACACAGAGAGAGACACACAGAGAGAGAGACAGAGACACAGTGAGAGACAGAGAGAGACAGAGACACGGTGAGAGACAGAGAGAGAGACAGAGACACAGTGAGAGACAGAGAGACAGAGACACAGAGAGAGAGACAGAGACACAGTGAGAGACAGGGAGAGAGACAGAGACACGGTGAGAGACAGAGAGACAGAGACACAGTGAGAGACAAGGAGAGAGACAGAGACACAGTGAGAGACAGAGAGAGACAGAGACACAGTGAGAGACAAGGAGAGAGACAGAGACACAGTGAGAGACAGAGAGACAGAGACACAGTGAGAGACAGAGAGAGACAGAGACACAGTGAGAGACAGAGAGAGACAGAGACACAGTGAGAGACAGAGAGAGACAGAGACACAGTGAGAGACAAGGAGAGAGACAGAGACACAGTGAGAGACAGAGACACAGTGAGAGACAAGGAGAGAGACAGAGACACAGTGAGAGACAGAGAGAGACAGAGACACAGTGAGAGACAGAGAGAGACAGAGACACAGTGAGAGACAGAGAGAGACAGAGACGCAGTGAGAGACAGAGAGAGACAGAGACACAGTGAGAGACAGAGAGAGACAGAGACACAGTGAGAGACAGAGAGAGACAGAGACACAGTGAGAGACAGAGAGACAGAGACACAGTGAGAGACAGCGAGAGACAGAGACACAGTGAGAGACAGAGAGAGAGAGACAGAGACACAGTGAGACACGGAGACAGAGACACGGTGAGAGACACTGAGAGAGACAGAGACACAGTGAGAGACAGAGAGAGACAGAGACAGAGACACAGTGAGAGACAAGGAGAGAGACAGAGACACGGTGAGAGACAGAGAGAGACAGAGACACGGTGAGAGACAGAGAGAGAGACAGAGAGAGACAGAGACACAGTGAGAGACAGAGAGAGACAGAGACACAGAGAGACACGGAGACAGAGACACAGTGAGAGACAGAGAGAGAGACAGAGACACGGTGAGAGACACTGAGAGAGACAGAGACACAGTGAGAGACAGAGAGAGACAGAGAGAGACAGAGACACGGTGAGAGACAGAGAGAGAGACAGAGACACAGTGAGAGACAGAGAGAGACAGAGACACAGTGAGAGACAGAGAGAGACAGAGAGAGACAGAGAGAGACACAGAGAGAGACAGAAACACAGTGAGAGACACGGAGACAGAGAAACGGAGAGAGACAGAGAGAGAGACAGAGACACAGAGAGAGACAAGGAGAGAGACAGAGACACAGTGAGAGACAGAGAGAGACAGAGACACAGTGAGAGACAGAGAGAGACAGAGACACAGTGAGAGACAGAGAGAGAGACAGAGACACAGAGAGAGACAAGGAGAGAGACAGAGACACGGTGAGAGACAGAGAGAGAGACAGAGACACAGTGAGAGACAGAGAGAGACAGAGACACAGTGAGAGACAGAGAGACAGAGACACAGTGAGAGACAGAGACAGAGAGAGACAGAGACACAGTGAGAGACAAGGAGATAGACAGAGACACAGTGAGAGACAGAGAGAGACAGAGACACAGTGAGAGACAGAGACACAGTGAGAGACAGAGACACAGTGAGAGACAGAGAGAGACAGAGACAGAGAGAGAGACAGAGACACAGTGAGAGACAGAGAGAGACAGAGACACAGTGAGAGACAGAGAGAGACAGAGACACAGTGAGAGACAGAGAGAGAGACAGAGACACAGTGAGAGACAGAGAGAGACAGAGACACAGTGAGAGACAGAGAGAGACAGAGACACAGTGAGAGACAGAGAGAGACAGAGACACAGTGAGAGACAGAGAGAGACAGAGACACAGTGAGAGACAGACAGAGACACAGAGAGAGACAGATACACAGTGAGAGACAGAGAGAGACAGAGACACAGTGAGAGACAGAGAGAGAGACACAGAGAGAGACAGAGAGAGACAGAGACACGGTGAGAGACAAGGAGAGAGACAGAGACACAGAGAGAGACAGAGAGAGACAGAGACACGGTGAGAGACAGAGAGAGAGACAGAGAGAGACAGAGACACAGTGAGAGACAGAGAGAGACAGAGACACAGAGAGACACGGAGACAGAGACACAGTGAGAGACAGAGAGAGAGACAGAGACACGGTGAGAGACACTGAGAGAGACAGAGACACAGTGAGAGACAGAGAGAGACAGAGAGAGACAGAGACACGGTGAGAGACAGAGAGAGAGACAGAGACACAGTGAGAGACAGAGAGAGACAGAGACACAGTGAGAGACAGAGAGAGACAGAGAGAGACAGAGAGAGACACAGAGAGAGACAGAAACACAGTGAGAGACACGGAGACAGAGAAACGGAGAGAGACAGAGAGAGAGACAGAGACACAGAGAGAGACAAGGAGAGAGACAGAGACACAGTGAGAGATAGAGAGAGACAGAGACACAGTGAGAGACAGAGAGAGACAGAGACACAGTGAGAGACAGAGAGAGAGACAGAGACACAGAGAGAGACAAGGAGAGAGACAGAGACACGGTGAGAGACAGAGAGAGAGACAGAGACACAGTGAGAGACAGAGAGAGACAGAGACACAGTGAGAGACAGAGAGACAGAGACACAGTGAGAGACAGAGACAGAGAGAGACAGAGACACAGTGAGAGACAAGGAGAGAGACAGAGACACAGTGAGAGACAGAGAGAGACAGAGACACAGTGAGAGACAGAGACACAGTGAGAGACAGAGAGAGACAGAGACAGAGAGAGAGACAGAGACACAGTGAGAGACAGAGAGAGACAGAGACACAGTGAGAGACAGAGAGAGACAGAGACACAGTGAGAGACAGAGAGAGAGACAGAGACACAGTGAGAGACAGAGAGAGACAGAGACACAGTGAGAGACAGAGAGAGACAGAGACACAGTGAGAGACAGAGAGAGACAGAGACACAGTGAGAGACAGAGAGAGACAGAGACACAGTGAGAGACAGACAGAGACACAGAGAGAGACAGATACACAGTGAGAGACAGAGAGAGACAGAGACACAGTGAGAGACAGAGAGAGAGACACAGAGAGAGACAGAGAGAGACAGAGACACGGTGAGAGACAAGGAGAGAGACAGAGACACAGTGAGAGACAGAGAGAGACAGAGAGAGACAGAGACACAGTGAGAGACAGAGAGAGACAGAGACACAGTGAGAGACAGAGAGAGAGACAGAGACACAGAGAGAGACAGAGAGAGACAGAGACACAGAGAGAGACAGAGACACAGAGAGACACGGAGACAGAGAAACGGAGAGAGACAGAGACAGAGAGACAGAGACACAGTGAGAGACAGAGAGAGAAACAGAGACACAGAGAGAGACAGAGAGAGACAGAGAGAGAGAGAGAGACAGAGACACGGTGAGAGACACTGAGAGAGTCAGAGAGACACAGTGAGACACAGAGAGACACAGACACACACAAAGACACAGAGAGACACAGACACAGAGAGACACAGACACAGAGAGAGACACAGACACAGAGAGAGACACAGAGAGAGACACAGTGAGAGAGACAGAGAGAGACACAGTGAGACACACAGTGAGACACACAGTGAGACACACAGTGAGACACAGAGACACAGTGAGACACACAGTGAGACACACAGTGAGACACAGAGACACAGTGAGACACACAGTGAGACACACAGTGAGACACAGAGACAAAGTGACACAGTGAGCCACACAGTGAGACACAGACACACAGTGAGACACACAGTGAGACACACAGTGAGACACACAGTGAGACACACAGACACAGTGAGACACAGAGACACAGTGAGACACACAGTGAGACACAGTGAGACACAGAGAGACAGAGAGACACAGTGAGACACAGAGACACAGTGAGACAGTGAGAGACACAGTGAGACACAGAGAGACAGAGAGAGACAGTGAGACACACAGTGAGACACAGAGACACAGTGAGACACAGAGACACAGTGAGACACACAGACACAGTGAGACACAGTGAGACACAGTGACACAGTGAGACACACAGTGAGAC